TAGAATAGAATAGAATAGAATAGAATAGAATAGAATAGAATAGAATATAGGAATTAGAATAGAATAGAATATAGGAATAAGAATAGAATATAGGAAATGGAATAGAATAGAATATAGGAAATACAATAGAATATAGGAATGAGAATAGAATAGAATAGAATAGAATAGAATAGAATAGAATAGAATAGAATAGAATAGAATAGAGTATATGGAAAGGAATGGATTCTATTCATTCTTTATTATTCTACACTACACTATCCTATTCCACATTTATTTTTCTATTCTATTCCATTCCATTCCATATTTATTATTCTCTTCTATTCTGTTATCATTATTCATTTGACTAAGGGTTCTTCCTCAGAGAAAGTATGAGAAATGAAACCTATGAAAAGTTTGGGTGTGACTGGAGGAAGCCTCAGTCTGAATCTCCTATTTACACTTTTGGGATTGTTCTTCTACGTTGGCTATTCACCCATGCAGGTCATCCTGGACAAAAATTGAGCCCAACATTTCCGTTGCTGAGCGAGACAACTGCTAAGTGAGCGTTGCCCCTCTTTGCCCGCTTTCCCTGCCACTGTTGTAAGTGAATCACCGCAGTTGTTCACTTAGTCACACGGCTGTAAAATGAATCTGGCTTCCCCATTGACTTTGCTTGTGGGGCGATCGTAAATGACCCCCGGGACACTTCAACCGTCATAAATATGAGTCAGTTGCCAAGCATCTGAATTTTGGTCACGTGATTGTGGGGAAGCTGTAGCAGTCATAAGTATGAAAAATGGCCATAAGTCAGCTTTTTTTCAATGTTGCTGTAGCTACAGTTTTTTTCCCAAACGCCATCACTCTGCTAAACAAATAATTCCCTCAACACTGTCCAACTATTTCCAAAGTCTGCACTACTATAAATATTAATCTCTCATCATTGACTGTTTCCTAGTATGATATGATTGCTTATTGTATCCTATGACTATTATTAAGTGTTGTACCTGATGATTCTTGACTCTTGATGAATGTATCTTTTCTTTTTATGTACACTGAGAGCATTTGCACCAAGACAAATTCCTTGTGTGTCCAATCACGCTTGGCCAATAAAAGAATAATTCTAATTCTAATTCTAAATGAACAATTGCAATTCTTTTTTTTTTTGATACCTTTCTTTCAATACACAAATGGGAGGTATCTTACTATAATTTATTTTTAAAAAAAGAATTGGAATGAGATAAGCATATTTGTCCAACTGCTAGCTCTATCTTTCTATTAAAAATGTTGATGTTTTCCTACTCATAGTTTTCTTCCTTTTGGGTTTTTTTCTTTCTTTTTTTTTTCAGAGTGATATGTTGGATGTCAACCAGATCATTAAAGACCTGGCATCGATGGTATATGAGCAGGGAGATGCAATAGGTGGGTATCATCAGAGCTCTTGTGAATTGAAATCTAAACCCATTTCCACTATTACTAACAGATAAACCTCCAAGTGGCCTCAACGACCCTCAGAAAGGATTCAGATGACCAGCTTTGTCTGCAAGGAATATAAATTGTTCCATTCCCCACCATCCAGTCAGAGCTGAAGAAGCTTCTTGGAGGAGAAGCGAAACATCTTCAAAGAAAAACCAGAAAGTCCAGTTGCCTCTTGAAAAAATGCACCTTTGGGACAGCCATGACCTGGATGACGGAGAATATCTACAGACTTTAACTATACAAATTGGGATGAACACCCTTAGAATGGTGTGGGAGTAGGAATAGAATTCCAGAGGGAAAAATCTCAGACTATAGGAACCATTTGCACTACTCAGGTGACCCTGATGACACAGATAAACCTCCAAGGAGCCTCAACGACCCTCTTAAAAGGATACAAATGACCAGCTTTGTTTGCAAGGAATATAAATCCTTCCATGCCTCACCATCCAGTCAGAAAAGAAAAAAACAAGGAAGTCCAGTTGCCTCTTGAAAAAGCACCTTTGCGACAACCATGACCTGGATGATGGAGCATCTCCATAGAAATTTAAGGTTTAGCAACCCTTCTTTGTTGAATCATTACCTTCTTTTTATTTACAGATAGCATTGAAGCGAATATTGAGACAGCCACCGTGAACGTCGACTCCGCCAACGAACATTTGGCAAAAGCCAGTCAGCATCAAGTAAGTGGATTATTTTGAAGGAGGCGAAATTGGAGAGGAAAACAGATTGGAGGGTAGGGGGAGAGTGGATGTTCGTTCTCCGAGCTTGTGGGTTGGTTTCTGAACGCTTAGTTACTATGCTAGGTAGCGTCTTCAGCGGAGTTTAGGGGATCAAAGTGTTGGTGTTCTTCTGCTTATAAGGGCTTGGTGTGGTAAGTCAATCTTGTGATGGATGAGGTCACGTCAGATGAGCGTCTTGTGGGTGTTGTGACGGGATCAGATATGGGTGTTGTGAGTTGGATAGGTGAGGGTCTTGTGATGGGTGAGGTGAGGGTGTTGTGAGGGGTTAGGTGTGTGTCACATCAGGTGAGGGTCATGTGAGTATTGTGAGGGGTCAGGTATGGGTGTTGTATGGACAGGTGTAGGTCTTGTGATGGGCCTTGTGAGGGGTCAAGTGTAGGTCACCAGGTGAGGGTCTTGTGAGGGGTGAAGTCTGGGTCATCAGGTGAGGGTCTTGTGATGGGTGAGGTGAGGGTCTTGTGAGGGGTCAGGTGTCTGTCACATCAGGTGAGGGTCTTGTGATGGGTGAAGTGAGGGTCTTGTGAGGGATCAGGTGTATGTCACATCAGTTGAGGGTCTTATGAGGGGTGAGGGGTGGGTCACAACAGGCAAGAGTCTTGTGTTGGGTCAAGTATGGGTCACGTCAGGTGAGGGTCTGGTGGTGGGTGTTGTGATGAGTCAGGCGTGGGTCACATCAGGTGAGGAACTTGTGAAGGGTTGTGAGGGGTCAGCTGAGGGTCACGTCAGCTGAGGGTCTTGTGATAGGTCTTGTAATGGAGAGATCGTGTCAGGTGATGCTCACTGGGAGGTGAACTGCCGGTTGGGAGGTGGGTTGCATTTGTTGGTTGAGGTTGTCATGCCCCCATCAGAGCATGAATCTGCAGAAGAAGACGAGCTGGAACAGATGGGAGATCTAGAGGACGGTTTCGTTGACTTCAGAGGAAAATGGGAAGGAGCAGGCCCAGTCAGGCGAGGGCTTTTCAGGATTGGGACAGTTTATAGGCAGGGAGGAAGTGGGGTAGAATGACCAAGAGACACTAAGCAGTGAACACGAGGAGTGACAGAGCTCAGGCAATGAGCAAGGATCACCCTCTCCTGATCCTCGAGAGTGGAGAGAAGTCAAGAACAGTGTAGACTGACCCAGCTACTCGGGAGGAAACTGCCCCTCCCCTCTTCACAAGGCACACCTGGGAATTGAGACTTAAAGAGACACTGTGGGGAGGGGCATTTGTTGGGTACAAACGCTGAATTCCTGGAGTGTTGAGTGCCGACGTTTGGACTTTCCTGGATTCTTTGCTGTGCAGCTGTGGTATTCACAGCGTTGGGTTGGATTATTTGCAGTAAGAGGCTGTTTGAGGTGTGTGTGTGTGTGTGTGTGTGTGTGTGTGTGCTCATCATCACTTTGCTCTGGGATTTGCCAGAAACGTGGGAGCGTTTGGGGAAATTTGGAGCAATAAAGGGGCAGTTTGAACAGCCAAGCTGTCTCTGTATTCTCTGTGCCGTGCCTTGGGTCATCACAGGGAGTCAGTGCCATTGCTGGTTGGTTGTGCGGTACACACAATCGGACACCGGAAAAATGTAGGAAATCGGACCCTGGAAAAATGCCAGCCCTTTTCCTGGGATCTTGAGGAATCTTTCAAAAATGTCTCCCTTCATAGCTTGCATGACAAATCGGCACTCTGAGAGAGGAGTATTAAACTGAATTTCTCCCGATCCCCTAAAAAATATGAAGCCGTAATTGCTGTCTTTTAACCGAGACATTGCTTTTCACAGTCCGATTTTGGCCCTTCCTAAGTAGGTAACTGAGAGAAAAGTAGCACAAACAGATGTGATACGGGGGAGGAAATAGGATTTACTCGCGCTGTTTTTAAGCCTGTTTGCCTTGAAGTGAGGGCCAGGCGAGTTTTCAGACGTGTATGTAAAAAAAAAAAAAAGGAGGGGGAAGGGAAACCAGGCCGAAAAATTGGATTTTAAAAAAGAAGTGTGTCGACAAATTCTGGAATGATTTGGCGAAATGTTTAACGAAGTGGATTTGAGAGAAAGACGTAGGCTTTCTCCGAGGGAGAATTTTTGTCGGATTGCTAAGTGTTTTTTACATTTAGGCAAGAAAAACCAAAAGCACAGGTTTGGAATAGGACTCTGATGGCGTATCTATGGCATGTGTGCCGGAGGTGGCATACACAGCCCTCTCTGTGGGCACGCAGCTTCTGGTTTCTGGCACCAGCTGGTCTTCATGGCGCTAGAGTACCTGAAAACGGCTTGAAAAATGGCCTGAAAACGGCCCGAAAATGGCCTGAAAAATGGCCTGAAAATGGCCCGAAAATGGCCTGAAAAATGGCCTGAAAATGGCCCGAAAATGGCCTGAAAAAGACCTGAAAATGCCCCCCAACTGGCCTGAAAATGGCCCCAAATTGCCTGAAAATGGCCCAAAAAACAGCCTGAAACTGCCCCACAAACAGCCTGAAAAGGCCCTAAAAACACCCTGAAAAATGGCCTGAAATGGCCCAGAAAACAGCCTGAAAAATGGCCCCTAAACACCCTGAACCCCTCCCAAAAAACACCCTGAAAAATGGCCCAAAAATGATTAAAAACCAGACCGTTTGGGGGGCATTTTCAGGGCAAAAACGGCCTGCAAACAGCCTGAAAATGGCCCCCAAAATAGTCAAACGACAGGAATGCACGCACTGGCCAGCTGGTCTTCGGCGCTCTGGCCCGCGCGCATGCACGCACGTTCCGATTTGGGCACACACTGCCAAAAAGGTTCTCCATCACTGGAATAGGTGGTGCCAGGCTCATTAATAGCGCCAGGGTTCCAAGTAATATACCCAACACAATCAAATCTCTGAAGCAGGGCCCTTCAAACTTAGCAGCTTTAAGACCTGTGGACTTCAACTCCCAGAATGCCTCCTCCAGTCATGTTAGCTCAGGAATTCTGGGAGTTGAAGTCCACAGGTCTTAAACTTGCTAAGTTTGAAGAGCCTTGCTCTGAGGCCTAGGAGTTCCTCAAACTACAGATTTATTAGGCATGTCATATTGGCGCATGTGGTGAAAACCCGATTCTGAAAGTCCCACGGTTTTCCCCACCCCAATTAAAAATCAAAGTTCTTTCCCCCAGTCCACGTGTCCATCCACCGGTCCAATCTGGTCACAGCCCCAACTCTAATTGGCTTCAGTCCATGCTGGGACTGATGGGAATGTCCTCGGTTCCCAGAAGAAAGAATGTTATTTTGGCTACAAGTCCCCAACTATCTCTTATCTCCCTGCATCCCGTTCCCATAGCGCCAACCAGCATAGCTCTGACAGCCCTGGAGATACTCCCAAAATGGCTTCAGCGTTGACCAATAGCAATTGCAAGAGGGATATTGGAGTCCTAGTAGACAATCGTGTAAATATGATCTAGCAGTGTGGAGCTGCAACTAAAAAAATAAGCCATAGCAATTCTAGGTTGCATGAACAGAGGGACGGAATCAAGATCACTTTATAAAGTCTTAGTAGAAACACACTTGGAATACTGTATCCAGTTTTGCACAGCTCTCCAAAAACCACAACTCTGATGTAAAGAGCCTGCTCCGTGAAGATTCATGGATGATCTAGGCTGCATTAACAGAAGGATAGAACCAACATCGTGTGAAGTGTTAATACAACTATATAATGCTTTGGTAAGACCACACTTGGAATACTGTGTCTAGTTTTGGTCGCTATGCTGTAAAAAAGATATTTGAGATACTAGAAAGAGTGCAGAGAAGAGCAACAAAGAGGATTAGGGGACTGGTGCAGAATGGTTGCAGGAACTGGGTATGTGAAGCTTGATGAAAAGAAGGACTAGGGGTAACATGATAGCAGTCTTCCAATGTCTCAGGGGCTGCCACAAAGAAGAGATAGTCAAGCTATTCTCCAAAGCACCTGAAGACAGAACAAAAAGCAACAGATGGAAACTAACCAAGGAGAGAAGCAACCTAGAACTAAGGAGAAATTTCCTAGCAATGAGAGCAATCAACCAACAGAAGAGCTTGCCTCCAGAAGTTGTCATCATTGGAGTTAAGAAGAGCTTGGACAACCATCGTTCTGAAATTCTGAATAGGGTTTCCTGCTTGAGTAGGGGGTTGGATTAGAAGACCCCCAAGGTCCTTTCCAACTCTCTCATTCCATTATCCTCTGGTTATGCCAATTTGACTCTCAGCCAGTTTGACTCTACATCAGTTCAAGCAAAGGTTGGCTGGAGAAGACTTGCCTGGGCTGCAAAATAATGTGGGTTTTTTTCGGTTTGGATGGTTGGTCATCTTTCCAACCCAACACAAGCAATAGCCAATTTGTTTCCTTCCTTCCTTCCATCCATATCTATCTATCTATCTATCTATCTATCTATCTATCTATCTATCTATCTATCTATCTATCTATCTATCTACCTCCCTACCTACTATCTCTATCTACAGTATCTATCTATCTATTTATCTTTCTCTCTCTCTATATATATATATATATATAGTATCTATCTATAGTATCTGTTTATCAATCTATCTCTGTCTACAGTATCTATCTATCTATCTATCTATCTATCTATCTATCTATCTATCTATCTATCTATCTCTACAGTATCTATCTACCATCTATCTCTATCTACAGTATCTATTTATCTATCTATTTATCGATCTCTTTCTCTCTCTACAGTATCTATCTATCTACAGTATCTGTCTACTATATCTATAGTATCTATCTATAGTATCTATCTGTTTATCAATCTATCTGCCTACAGTATCTATCTATCTATCTATCTATCTATCTATCTATCTATCTATCTA